CGGCACGGGAAACCAGAGGTAAAGTGTGAGAGGCGAGGCGATGCTGCCGGCCAGCCTGGCCACGCTCGGCAGACAGGACAGAAGCTGTGCTGGCGCCTGGTTGCATAATCGGCAGGCCAAGCAGCAGGCGCTTGAGCCACCCGGCTCTCAATGGAGCCTTCACCAAGGGGAAAACGAGTCACTGACTCATCTGCAATTAGCTGACATAGCAGGACAGAATTTTCCATGCCGGATTCGCAGTAACAGAATTGTATTGTCGCACTGGAGATATTTTGAGCCCGTCTCATTTCCAGGCAATTGCTCTTTTGATCTCTGACAACCTCTGGGGCACAGCTGCATTGAGGGTCCCTGACGGGGCACAAACACCACTCTCTTGAGTTCTGGGGGACGGAGCTCCAAGCTACCTGTGACGTTTGCCATTCCCAAGCCAGGGCCAGGGAGGGTCAGCCGTCCAGGTCAGAATTCCCAGGCCAGGCTCTGCCTCGGGGAGGGAGCTTGCTGAAGAAGGGAGACCAGAGAGGGAAGCTCTGAGGGTGGCTGCTAAGAGGCAGTGCCCTCCTCCCGTGTGATCTGGGAGTGGCAGGCCAGCATACATTAGGGGGCCAATGCCCCAGGACGGGGTTTTCATGCCCTTGCTATGTGGCTTTGGGTATGGGCCCTCGTTTTCTCATCTCCCCAGTATGGGGCTGGATTACATGCTTCTTAAGTCTCTTTCTAGTGCTAGTGTCCCAGTGTCCATTTGCCAAATAGAGCTCAGCACCTGTAGGTGCCAGGCGCCATGCGCAATCTTGGGGATGTTGTGTGTGCGTGGCAGAGCCCCACTGGGAGAATGGGGACGGAAGCCCGCGGAGAGGCACGGCTGCCAAGCAGGGTGGTGGCAAGACTCTGACCCTGTAGGTGGAGAGGAGAAGGGCTCAGCCTCCAGGCTGGACGTGCAGAAAAGGTGACATTCACTCCGCATGTGCCCGGAGCTCTGGGGTAGGCTGGCTTGCAGGGGTTCCAGGCAGAGGAGACGGCTGGGGTGAGCTCAGTGCGCCACAGCACCAGAAGGGAGGTTGCTGAGCAGCAGTGTGAGGTGAGGCGGCCGCACCCCGGAACCAGACTCAGCAGCAGGAGGGGACGCTGGTGACCCTTTGCGCTTAGATGGCACACATGTTACCCGCCCAGTGCCCCTGGGATTCTGTTTTCCTGGGCAGGGCCCAGGGTCTTCGGGACTGAGGCTCCTAAGGATCCCTACCCCACCCGTGTTGCTGTGGGTCACACGCTGTGCAGCACGTGGCCCCACCGGCCTTCCTGATCTGACTCAGGGCTCTGGAGCCATGGCGGGCTGTCTGGAGTCCCCTTGGCAACAGCCCTGTGCCTTCCCCCTTGAGTTCCCAGACACCTACGCCCCTCTCCCTTCCTAACTGCTCTTTTCACTGTGCAGTGGCTGTCCCCTGCTATGTCCGGCTCGGGGACAAACTCTTACACTCGGATCCGGATCCTACTTCCAAGCTCTAAATAGCCAGCTCTCTTCAAATGCTTCAGGCTTAGGTGCCTCCCCCTGCTGCCCTTGGGTGCCCAGGCGGAGAGGCAACACGGTGCCCGAGACTGCCCAGACGGCAGGGAGCAGCCATTGCTGTCGCCAGCCCTTCCGCCGCTGTCTGCCTCCCTCCCAGGAGGAGCTGCCCCAACCCCTCGGGGCTCCACTCTGCAACTGTCGGCTGGACAGATGGGGAGCAGGAGAATCCACATGCTCACACGCTCCTCCTCCTCCCCGCCCCTGCAGGCCTTGCTGATTGGCTCCTGTCCTGCCGGGGTGGCCCTCGCTCCAGCACAGGGCACAGCAAGGACATCGCTGTGCTGACCGCCACCCGCGGGGTGGAAAGGAGCCCAGGGAGCCCTCGGCCCCTCCCCTTCCTCCCCAGCGAGCTGCAAGGGGCTGATTTGCATAGCTGTCTTGGTAACGGAAAAGAATGTGAAAGCAGCAGCACTTCAGAGGTCCTTGTCCTCCTCCCCTTAATCCTCTCCAGCACTTCCCCTCTTGCGCAGCTACTCACACCTGTTCACCCTCTCTCCCCTGCTCCCTGGCTCCTCCTGACTCTCCTGCCACTTCCCTTTCCTGCTCAGGAAAAGAGAGACACTCTCTAAATGGTAGACACTGATACTAACCGTTGACGCTGTTGATTTGCTTTCTCTCCAAAACCCTGTTTTTAGGCTGCAGTTCATAATTGAATGCAACTGTAAAATGCTATTTTTAATAACATCACTGTGTTTGACTAGGCAATATTGTTCTTTTGGGTGGTTGGAGTGGGACCTAGCACACCTCTACGACTACTGATAAATCTCACAGTCATCCAGCGATACATCCACAGTTATCTAGGCATGCTGTTCTTAGCACACGCATGCACGCATGCATACATACACACACGCGTGCTCCCTTCCTCTCTCCCTTCCTCCCTCCCTCCCTCCGGTTTTCCCAGTGGGGTTTTCCCTCCTTTTGGGTTTGACTTCCCAGGATAGTCCAGATGAGGAGCCCAAGCCAGATGCTGACTATGGAACCCCTTGCATTTCTTCCATTTAGCCTTCCAGAAGTTTAGCTGATTCTGTCAGCTCTAGTGAATAGTGTCCTTTTTTTTTTTTTTTTTTTTTTTGGTACTGGGAATTGAACTCAGGATCTTGTGCTTACCAGGCAGGTGCTGCGCCGCTGAGCTACATCCCCATCCTTGGAAAGTTACTGAGAGTGAAAGTTACTGGATAGTGTCTTAAGAAAGTTAAACTGACTGGTGTGATGTGTATGCAACCTCAAGCTAATTTTCTCTTTGTGCATTTCTTTCCCCTCCCCAAGTACCCTTTCAATAGCCCCACTTCCCGGATGGAGCCCTGCCTGATGAGCAGCACCCCCAGGCTGCACCCCACCGCAGTCACTCCCCGGTGGCCAGAGGTGCCCACCGCCAACACGTGCTACACGAGCCCGTCTGTGCACACCGCGAGGTACGGAAACTCTAGTGACATGTACACACCCCTGAGCACGCGCAGGAATTCCGAGTACGAGCACATGCAACACTTCCCTGGCTTTGCTTACATCAACGGAGAGGCCTCCACAGGGTGGGCCAAGTGACTGCTCTCGTGGTCATCCATATTTAATGTTAATAATAATAATGATAATAAGCCCAATACCCGCCCTCCAGAAGACTTTATCTCTATACATCGTAACTGGTGGGCAGTTCCTAGGCACCCATTGTCCTCACGAACAGGAAGATACCCACTATGGGAGGAGTAAACGTTAGTTCAGAAAAAGGTCTCGCCAGAAGTCACTGGGACTGGGTTCCTGGACTGTTTCTCTAGAGCACTCGCTGGGCAGGCCGCCTGCGCCTCCCCCTCTGTCCCACAGCTCGGCTTCGTGCGGGCGAGCCCTCCCTGTAGGCTACTTGTGTTCCTGTGGGCCCTGCGAAGCCCTGTAGTCTTGAGGGATGGATCCTGGAGATGGAGTCTGGTTGTGTTCTCGCACGGGCACGTCACTTGCCAAGAACAGTCACCCGGCCACCTGTGTGGTATGCCCCTCCCTCCTGGTTGCATCTCACGGCTTCCTGGAAGGCCAGGGCCCAGGGAGACGCCAGGGACTCTAGGCTGGTTCCCTGTGCTGCTCGCATCCGTCCGCCGCGTACCTGCCTTGCCTAGAACAGAAGCACTGTCGGAGGGAAGAGGAGGCCTGTTCTGTTGCCTTAAGTGGACTGAGGTCCGTAGGGGACCGGTTCTTCTATGTACAAGGGTTTGTCCTGAATTTGCACAATGGTTAGTGTCAGCAAAAGGCGGGAGAGGGTTTGGGAAGGTTCTTTGAGAATGTGATTTGTGGCCTTGAGTATCACACTCGGCTCTGCTGTTAACATTCTGAAGCTGTTTGGACCAAACTTTAACTTAGCACCAAGTGTGAGAGCGACTTTCATAGTTTCTTCATAAGACTATAATAATTTCCGACACTTTGATAGAAGAAAGATTCAGAGCTGTGCCTTTGAGCCTATACTATACTGTGTATGTGTGGAAATAAAAAATGTATTGTACTTTTGGGAACATTTTTTTCATAGGCATTTTTCTGTCAGATTTGTAGTAATTTGTGAGGTTTGTTAGAGATTAACATAGGCTTTCTTTCTGTATCATAAAATGCACCACACAATTATGGTGGACCTATTACCCTATGGGTAAGAAATAAATGGAAATATGACATCGGATACGTTAGCAATTGTTCTGTAAATAAAACTTTTGATCACACCGCTCAGTGTGATAATCATGTCTACGGCTAAAATGGAGATAGTTTTATCTGTACAGTTGTGCAAGATGTGAATGGTTTCACACTCGAATAAAAGGTATTGAAACAACTTGCTTTCTTCCTTCTGATTTTGCACTTGACAGGACGTCTGTGCATGCAATATAAATAATATTCTTAAACATTCACGCTTTAAGTAGGCAGAACAAAAAAAACCCTAAGTGGTCTTGGATGGCGTCCTTCCCCACTGCCCTGTCATGTCATACCACAACAATTACAGTGTGGAAAGGCCGAACGTCCTGTCTTGACCGATGAGTGAGCATAGGACCTACAGCCCGACTGAGGGTCAGGGGACCTGCTGGTCTGCACCGTCAGTGTGCAGAATGCCTGATGTCAGTAAAGGCAGGCGCCTCTCAACTCTTACAGGGAACGTTACTCTTCCATGCCAGCATCATTGAGAGTTCTTACTTAGCTCACACTGGGTGTGAAGATATTTCAAGTGCACTGCTTTACATGCTAATAAACTTCTGAACAGAATGGTAACATTACTGAATACGTAATAAGTATGAAATTCTTCTCCAGCACTGTGCTTTGATTCTGGGGCTGAGAGGATTGGGATACAGAAATGAAATGACTGTGTTCTGCCCAAACGTTAAGAATATAAAAACAAAGGGAAATTCAGAGCCATGGATTTCCAGAAATGGCAGCAATGACTGTCTTAACCCAAAGGCATGAGAATTTGACACCTCAATTTGCATTTTGAAAGATTTATTTTTAAAGCCGAGCTCATAACGTATTTATACCTGAAGATGATTTTAAGGTGAAAGCTATTTATGTATTATATACAGCATCCCCTTAAATATATTTAGCTATGCTGTTCTACAGAAAGAAAGTAGACCTTGGATCTCACTCTCTGAGGGTGAGTTTGTTTTTTCTTTTATCCACAACCCATTAGTTGGCTTTGTGTTATGCAAGGGGTGAGAAGAATGAAATTTCAGATGCAGTCAGTGCATAAAATAAACCTGGGGACGGCCAGCCCTGCCACTCTCTTACAGTCAAAGCTGGTGCTCCCTATGTGAAGAACGTTGTAAGTCTAACCTTTACTGAGTACACGAAATTAAGTTCTCACCCAGTTCTCTAGCCACGTAGCAGGAACATGATAAACCACACTTGTTTACAAGAAACAGCCACAAGCTCACTAAGTGCACACCTCTTGAGGCAAAAAATTGTCACAGTTAGCAGAGGCGTGAGGCCAAGAGAAGAGCAGCCGCTCCGGAGCCCCTCGGGACAGCCTGCGGCGCCCTCCTTCCCAGCGCTGGGCAACAGGAGGCAGCGAGCTGGGGGCCAGCGGTCACTGAGTGCTTCCTCCTCGGGGCGCACACACCCTGGGCTCCCAGATGTCCCGAAACCTTCAGGATCGGACTCTGGAAAGGCAGCAGGTGCTGTGAGCACGTGGCCCCAAGGCGCCTTCTCTCCCTGCATGGCCCCACACCCGTGTGCCGAATGGGGACGGGGAGGTTGGCAGCTGGGAGCAGGGCCAGTCACTTGTCAGAAGAACAGAGCCGCGCTGGCAGTGAAGGAGCGCTCCCCTCCTAGGCCTTGCTGTAGAAAGGGCTCTGCCAGTTTGAAACTCGCTGACGTCAGGAACAGCAGACAGGACAGCTCACCCACACTGCAGCCGGTGGCGTCCCGGGCATGTGTCCTGCTGTGTCCCTTTTCAGGTCTCTAGTATACCCCAGATCTGGAGAAAAAGCAGACGGGGGCCCCTTGGAGCCTGCAACCAGGCACCAACCAAGCTGAGCCTCGGCCGCTGAGTGAGCCCAGCCTAAGCAGGGTGAGAAGCAGAAGTCCTGAGAAGAGCCCCGGCCCCTGCACGTGACCTTGCGCGGGGCCCCTCCCCTGCCTGGACCCCAAGCAGGCGTGTTCCAGGAGCCTGACATTCCGAATTAGTCTGTGGCCTGATGGACTCAGGTTGGCAGGGCTGAGTGAGGAGGGTGGGCAGCTAGGGAGAAGAGACAGGCTGGGCTGGCAGCTGGGTGGCGACGCAGGGTGAGAGGCGGCCGTGGAGAGCGGGCGCTGGCCCCGCCATCTGGTGCCAGGACACAGGCTGAGGCTCCTGCCATGACTTAGGCCTGCTCACCTGCGCCGTCGCACAAAAGCCCAGCCCTTCCTCGCTCCAAGCCCACACGCCTGCCCGCCACTCTGGACAGGAGTCCCCATCAGAACCGGCCTGAGTACCCACCTTCCAGACATGTCCACCAGCGCTTCCCAGGCCAGGTCTGGAGAAGGACGAAAAGGAGGCAGGTTCCCGTGGGACAGTGTCTGTCCCAACTTCTCACTCCTACAGGCAGACTGGCAAGATTTTTAGCATATTAAACTCTGGGGAGAAGGGCAGCATAAGTACTCCATCTATTGCAGCACAAGGGGCGTGGACAGGGTGCTACAGGTCTCCTGGCATCCAGGAGGAAGGAAAGCTCCGAATTTCACAACACTTCTTAGCTGAGGTGTTGTTTCAGGAAGAAAAGTTCATTAAGCCAGAGTTTTGTGTGTAAAAAGACAGTTTCCCATTCACGTCTTTTTGTGTTTGTCAGAGGCTGTGAGTGTGAGCCACAGAAACCCACTTACTGTGTGGTCTTAGCTTCTCTCTTGCCTGACGATCAGATATTCCTTTGGGAGCCTTTGCTTCAGCGTCTTTGCTTATGTGAACCTTTAAAAAAAAAACAAACATTTTTTTGGCGACAGGGTCTTACTATGCAGTGCAGACTGGCCTTGAACTCACCATGTAGCACAGGCTGGCCTTGAACTCACAGTGATCCTCCTGCCTCAGCCTCCCAAGTGCTGGGATTACAGGCGTGTGCCACCACACTCAGCTGCTTATGTGTATAAACATCAGATGTTACTACATTTTATATGGAGTAGAAAATGAATCAGAGCTGTTCAATCAATAGTGTTTGAACCAGTAAGCTCTTTAAATAAAATTCTGTTCCATTGCCAATGTAGCCAAAAAAAAAAAAAAAAAAAAGAAAGAAAGCTCTCTGAAATGTAGTGAGAAAGCAGGCAAGGGTATGCAAGCACTGTCACAGAAGCTTGTTTTAAAAGTTGGATATACTTATTGGTTTTCAAATGAAATAGAAGTGAGGTCCAACTCTGGTTCCACCCAAGAGTGTAGGAGGGCCCGCGCAGTGAATAACTGCCCCAGACGATTCGATTCTCAAGCAGTCAAGGCGGAGGAGGGGACGACCTCTCCGCGCTGACTCCGGAGGCTCAGGCTCAGGTTTCTTTTGAACGGGAGTCTGTGTGTCCATGTGGAGGACAGTGGCCAGGGCGAGAAGGGCTGATGCTGGCCACCCTGAGCGCTCTCCCCGTAGTCGAACCTTTCCCTAGCTCCGGGGCTGGGCTGGCCCTGCAGCCACTCCGCTCACTGCCAGTCTGCCGCCTGCCTCCTCCTCGAACCTGGAACTTTCTGCTCCGGCTCCTGGGCAGCCTTCCAAGCACAGCCCGGACACAGGCTTTGGGGCTTCCTCTTCTTCCAAGGAGGTCAGAACCTTTCGTGCCGCACCGGCCTCCTCCCGGCATCGCTCCCCCCATTCCTCCGCCTGCATGCCAGCGTGCCCCCTCAAGCCCTCGCACCCCCATATTTTGCTGCTGCTGGCGTAGGTGGGGCGGAAGACGTGGGCCGCAGCGCTGAAGAACGCGCTGTTGCTAGGGAAGGCGTGTGGGCGATGAGCGAGGGCGGGCGGGAGAAACAGGGCTCCCCGGTCTCACGCCTCCCTTTCTCATCATAAATGCCTCGAGAACGAAAACCAGTGGCTGAAGATCTATTATGAAGAAGAGTGAGTTCTGACCGTGACAGAAGCTGCCTCAGAAACGGCTGCAGCGCGGCTATTTGGTATTTGTGAGGCTCCTAAGTGGGGGGCCAGCGCGGTGAGTGAATGCCCAGGGATCTGCCAAATTGGGGCCCTAGAAAGGCTGGCCTGCAAGTGCCCTGACTCATGTGACACCTCTCAGAAACGGTGCTACAGAATGTCCGCCTGAAGCCTGCAATGTAGTGGAGGCAGAAGGCCCACCCTGCGCGGAGGCCTCTGCAGCACCCTCCTCCTGCATGCCCAGTGGGCTGTGCTGTGGCTCTGAACCCAGCCGGGCCTGCCCTCACCCGCGGAGGCCCGGTGTCCTGGAGTCTCCTGTGCCCCGGGCGCACAGGAGTCCTTCTCCCTCCAGCTTACAACCTCCTGCTTCGTGCCTTGCCCGTGGCCACAGAGTTCCGGGGGGAAGAGCTGAGATTGGAAAACTGAAACCAGACACAACAGCCTGGCCACAGCCCCTGCCACGCAGGAGGTCCAGGTGAGAGCATCCCCTGATCCCGGGAGCTAGAGTCCAGCCTGGGCAACCCAGCGAGACTCCACCTCAAAAGAAAAAAAAAGGAAAGACACCTGCCTTTGGACTTGGGGCCTTTTTGCTTTTTTGGTACTAGGGATTGAACTCACAGCCTCATGCATGCTAGGCCAGCGCTCTACCACCGGGCTACAGCCCAGCCCCCTCCTTCCAGCTTTTGTTCCCACAGCATATCACCGGCGTTCCATCTCCTAAGCGGCTTTGCAGCTTTAAATCAACTTTGACCACGGTAATAGAACCTACTGGACTCCAAGAGAATTTCAGAAGTTCCGGGAAATGTTTGTGCCCGCTAAATGCAGGCAGTTTCTAAGCTGGGTGCCAGGTCTTCCTTGCACCCCAAGCTGCATCCACTCGCTAGATGTAAAGGGCAGGCAAGCTGGCCCCAAGCTACGCATGGACCAACACATTATCAAGGACCAAGATTTGGAGGAACGGGAACAAAGAAAGTCAGTAATAATGTTAAAAAAAAAAAATACCAGGTCACAGGAGGATTTTTATTACCAGGTTGAAAAAAAGCTCTGTAGGGGAGGTACCATGAGCCAAGCATTCACCAGGATGAAGTCATTGGGGTGTGGGGAGGAAGAGGGGTCTGGCTACCTCTTGCTGTTAAGGTCACTACCCTTTGACAGAGGTGGCCTCTGACCTCAGCAACCCTACAATTCTGTTTTGACTGACCCTGAAACCCATGAAATTCAGATGGAGGCCCTGCCCAAAAGTTGAGCTAAAGCTGAGTAATATGGGAAAAGTTCCCGGTATGTGCCCCCAGCTGAAAGGAGCTGGCAGCTCTTTGGCGGTGGATGCAATTTATTCTGTCCTCCTCCTTTCAGGGAAATGCTAATCCTTCATAGGCAACTCGAGGGGAAGACTAAAATGTGTTGATGATGAATGACAATAACCCTTTGTCCACTGCCACCTCCTCCTAGGGTTGGACCTTAAGAGTTTAATCAAATGTTGGTAAGTAAATTAATGCTTTACTGCAAAAGGTGGTGGGAAGAAGGGTTGTGAGAACAGCTTTCCTCTGATGTGAATCCCAAGAAAGCTCGGTGCTAAGGCATTGACACGGGGAGGGGGTACTGGAGGGCTGTCTGGGAGCCTTTATTTACCCATAGAACAGTTGTTCTTTTTAAACCGTATTACAGCATGTCGGTACACAGAACTGTATTACATTCTGCCAAAGCGGAATGCTAGGGTTACTTTTGTTAAAAACAGCAGCAACAACAACAACAAAAACCCAGGCATTTGTGCTGCGTAGGAGCTAACACGGTCCTTTTGCCCTGAATCTCCCCAACCTCCTTCGGTTCAGAGGGCTTGGGAGTGACTGCGCCGTGCCGGGTGTCCTGTGCCAGACACTTTGCCGTTTCTTTTAACCCTTACATCCTTCTCCAAGGAAGTATAATTATGCTCATTAAAGGTGAAAACAATGTTCAAACAGAACACCCAGAGTTAAAAATCAAACAGGAATCGTTTGGCTTTCAGGTCTTCCTGTTAGACACAAAAAACTGTTTGCCAGGCAGGTTTCAAGGAACTTGACAAATGATCCGCTTCTGAGGCTCGCACAGTGAGCGGGGAGTAGAGAACAGGTTTTCCAATTCCCTGTCCAAGTTCTTTCACCACATTACTGCACTGCCACCCAAAGCGCAGGGTTTTCCCAAGAGGTGTTTGGATGGGATTCCAGTTAGTGAGATGCAAATAGGTCTGACCCACATTCCAGCTCTTGGATAAAGAAAACCTTCTAAAGGGCAGAGCCCATTTCATGTGCTTCATTTGAGAGTCCCACTGTGCACAGTCAATATTAAACAATTATAGGTAAATTTGCCAGGGACGAACAGCAGGGGCTCCGCTAGAATACTGAAAATAGTACCCAGGAACCCCAGAAAGGTGCCAAAAGGCTGGATCAAGCAGTCATAAGTTTTTTAGTGTGTAAAAAAATCCTTTGAAGTCATGTAGTCCAGCTCTAATTTTATAAGTGGGATCCAGAGATAAAATAATGTGCATAAGGATCAGAAGCCAGCCAGCAACAGACCTTTCCTCTGGTCTCCCGGGTCTATTTTATGTCATATGGCATTGTCGGGTAGTATTTTCAGAAGTATAATATGTTGTCAGCTGAAGTGAGATTGGCTGGTTATAAAGCCATCATTGATTATGAAACATCTCTTGAATTAAACTTTTCCTTATCTGGCTGACAAAATTGACCCCAAAGAAATTCCTACTGCTGGCCTTCAAGTACAACCAAGTTAGTATCTGGTACCGCTACTCAACAAATGTTAATTTTGGCCTTCGACTTTTTCACGTACTATTTCTCCCTGTCTGGGCACCCTCTAAGGTCTCCACCACCCTACATTACTCACATCCTCCGAGAAGGTTCTCCGATGACTCCCTTACCCATTAGTGTTTATCTTGCTTGGATTTGTACACTAAGTTCAACTTCCTTCCTATCATAAAAACTTTTTTATTGTCTGGTTGTTTCTTATATCCCCAAAGGACAAGATCAATTATTTCTCCTTGGTTTTACTTTTTATATCGTCTAAGGCAAGGCTGTGCACTAATATTTGTTAAAAGGAACAAACTGAACTTCACGATGCCAGGGAAACTTCATTTTTGGTAGAAAATGAAATAAAGATAACTTTCATTTTGCAGGGTGATTCTGATTTGACTGATCGTAGTGCTGGGGATTGAACCTGGGCCCTCCCATTGAGCTACATCCCTAGTCCTCTTTTATTTTTTATTTTGAGACAGGGTCTTGCTCAATCACTAAGTTGGTCAGGTTAGGCTCAAACTTGGGATCCTTCTGCTTCAGCCTCCGGAGTACTGGAGTTACGGGTATGCATCATCACAACCAGCTAGTTATTCTGATTTCTCAAAGACTCTTATATGTACATGGCCTGAAAGTGCACCAAAAAACGAGTTCAGTGGCTGATCCTCTTATAAGAATACTGGTTCAGTGGTTTTCACTCCTGGCTGCTGGGTTGAATCAACTGGGAAACTTTTACAGTTATGAGTACCCAGGCCTCAGCACAGATCAACTGAATCAGCTCTTCAAAGGTATACAAAGCAATGATTTCACATATCACAGTTCTGATAGTTGATTTGCACAACCTTATTAATAGATTTTTTTTTTTCTAAAGAATGAGCATATTCGAACATGGTTGTGGTTTCCCAAATCACCAACATTTTAGAACTGAGAGCTAAGACCTCTGCTTGCACTCTCCGTTTCAGAGCCGAGGGCACTAGTTTAAGAGAGGCTGAGTGGCCCCGCACAGGGAGGGGCTGGTTCCCAGAGGACACGTCCTGTCCGGAGTTGCTGGGATTCTCTGAACTCAGATTCGCGAGCTGCAGTCAATAAACTGAGCTGTTCAGTTCCTGAATTTCCACTTCTAAAAAAATGTACAGAAAGTATTGCTTGTGAAGAGCAGGATTTTAAAAACAGCACCAGGTACTACTTAAAGCCCTTCAGTCTGGTGCACTCCAGCTCGCCCATTTTCATGGCAAGAGGAAATGCCACAGCAGGATATACCAAAGTCCAGAACGAATGACCAGTACCGGTGTGCAGCCTTCTTCATTGCCCTAACCTGAAAGTTCGTAACTTTTCTTCATAACATTTTGTTATTGGAATCCAGAGCCCTTCCAGCCCTTAACTATACCACTTATTAGGAGACTTACTTGCTTACTAGCAAGCTAATCAATACCTGGAACTTCCCTTTTCTCTATAAAAAAGAAGATAGTGCCTGCCCTACTGACCTTACAGTTTTCAGCTATTAAAAGGGTTAAATCAGATAATCCATAGCCGATATTTGGGAAACAGAAAGCACTATTCATATACCATATATGTATAGAGTGATAGCACTATCTTTCAGAGCAGTGACTTGCAAATACACTGTCTGTTGCTTTTGACTATCTAAGCTCTAATTCCTAATTCCTTGGTACCATGCCCCCTGGAAGTCAACAGGAATTGGAGGTAGTGCTAGAGTACTCTCTAGTCACTGAAAGAGTCACATAACTAACCGGGAGGCCATGTGCTGCAGCGGCTGCTCTAGGCTCTCGTCCTAGAGCCGGGTTTTACTACTGACTTTGGACAAGCCGCTTAATTTTCCTGGGACCAAAGTCTCGTCAGTGGTCAATGGATGACTTAAATTAGAATCAAAGACCCTTTGATTTATAAAATCAGAATATTAATGCTTTAAGTTACTGAAGTACAACTTCCCAAGTCATTAATTCATGTGGCTTCATGTATTTTCAATCTCTTTTTTAGACATATAAGGTGGGACAAACCGATTTTCAAAGATGTGTAAGATCCTCTTTAAAATTTTTTTTTTTCTATCGGGATGTTATGCTTGCTGATATCCTCTCCAAGAGACCTTTACTCCAAAAATAAATTCATAGTTACCCAAAAAAGCAGTTAACACAGTATTGGACACAGACTGGGCATCCAGATACTTTAATAGCCCTTAGCTTGAGTCCATTTGTGTTTCTTCATTCTCTTGACCCTGTTTTCTTACCCATAAAGTGGGAACAATACCTTTTCAATGCTTCACTGAGGTTATATCTATGCAAATATTTTGTAAACTGCAAGGTATTACCTTAAGATCATAGCTTCCTATTCCATAAACTTTCTAAGTGTGCTTTTTTGAGAGGTAAATTAAAATCTTTCTAATTTATTACAAATGTAGCACCTACCTTGCTAGAGTTTGAATCTGAAATGTCTCCCAAATGACCATGTGTTAAAGGGCTGGTTTCTAATCCTTGGTGCTATTTGGAGGTAGTGGAACGTTGAAAAGATGAAAACCCCCTTGGACGAGGTCACTGGTGCACGCGTGGAAGGGAATATGGGCGCTCACCCATCCCTCTTTGCTCTTTAGCTATTATGAGGTGAGCAGTTTCCTTTGATTTGTGCTCCCCACCATACAGACAACAGGGCCAAGAGACCATGGACTGAAACCTCTCAAACCATAAGCCAAAAAATCTTGTCCCTTATTATCTCAGGCATTGTGTCACAGTGAGAGAAAACTAATACACCCCCAAATGACTGGATCAACAATAAGTCCAATAAATGTTTGCTGCATGAGAAGTATAATTTACAGAAAAAACAAAAGTTCCATGGGCTCAGTTTCCATGTTTGTTTTTGTCTCCAAATTCCTAATGCACAAAACTCAGTATACACAGTACAGAAGGCACTCAATTATTAGACGAATGAATTTTGTTCCCTCTAGTTCCCCTTCCACACAGCCCCAGAGGAAGAGGCGGCAGGGGAGGCGTCAGAGATGACTGGAGCGGACACTGTGGATGTTACCAGGAGAATTCACCTGCTCTTTACTGAAGAGCAAGGGAAGGAAGCAAGGGCACAGGCTCCTGTTTCGAAAATCTGCAATTTTCCCGATGGAGGGAGCGGGAAGGGCTTGGGGGGTGGCGCAAAGAATGAGGATGTGTTACGTGCACATGCCAGCTCCCCACGAGGAATATGATCACCATGGACTAATAAAATTTTTAAAGCCCCAAACCTGCAATTTTGGTATCACCTGCGACTTTTTTTCTCATTTTAAAAGGAGAATAGCGTTGTTCACTGAAATGGCAGCTCCACAAGGATTGAACTTTCCTGTGGGCCCACTGTACCCCGTACCCACCCTGCCCCTGCCGCTAGGTGTTTGTTGAATGCATTTGTGAGAAGCTGCTTGAAGCAACACAGAAGTGTGCAGCAGAGAGCGCGGCACACAGTTCACACTTGGCGAACAGGAGCTCGGCCACCTCTGCGCTGTGTCAGGACGATGACTTCCACGGGGGCTGGATTGCAGCCGCTTCCGGGGAAAGACCCGGGTTCCAACCTCCCCGTCTCCACTGACCGGCCGTGGGACGTAGGCCGAATACGTAACCTGCTGGGTTCTTTTTGCGGGAATCAGAGTTTGATGGTAACATGGCAACCCGTAACCGGTTTGCAGCTCTGCCAGCACAGGACCCCGGCTTCCCGTGGACACCACGGCGGCCGAGGCAGGAAGGTGTCAACTTCCGAGGCCGGAACCGCTAGCCGCGACTCGAGGGTATTAATCGGGACTTGACAGCTCCCACCACAGAGGGCCGTTCCCACCCCCCGCAGCCAGGTGGACTGGCCAAGCCTGGCGCAGGACGGCGGACGGCGTGAGGATCAGCGCCCAGGCTCAGCCACACTCAGACCCTCCTGTCTCTCTGCCGGCCGCAGGCGGTCCCCAGCCTCCGCGTCTGTTCTCGCGGGACCACAGTTCCCAGCATGCCGTTGGGGGGAAGTCGCTCTCGCTGGGTGACTACCAATCCCGGCATGCCGCTCGGCACACAGTCCGTTGGGCGGCGGTGCGCACTGGCCGCATTGTATGCAGGGAGATGTAGTCCATTCCGTCTCCGACTCGCAGATGGGCGGGGCAGACACGGGTGGTTCGCGTCCGCTGAGGAGAATGATTCATAGAGGAGGGTCGGGAGAGAGCAGCTCTGTCCGCGAAAACCCTCTTGATAGACCGGACTCCCCTTCTCCGAGGCCGGGAGCTGGACGGAGGCGCGCGCGACCGCAGGCCTGACGCTGCCTCGCGGGCCCGCCCCGCGTCCCGGGCCTCCGGGAGCCGGGACGGCTGCGAGCGCCGGCGGCCGGGAGCCGTGACGTCGCGGGGTGAAAGTTGAGGGGCGGTGACGTCTGGCCGGCCGGGCGGAGGCTGGCGGGCTGGAGCCCGGAGGGAGGGAGGGAAGGAGGGAAGGAAGGAAGCTGGGAAGGAGCGAGCGAGCGGGGGCGCGAGGCGTTCACCTGGAGGCAGCGCTCGAGCGCGCGAGCGGCCGCGGCTCCCGCACCTGCGGCCATGGACGAGGAGCGCGCCCTCTGCATCGTCCGAGCCGGCGAGGCGGGCGCGATCGAGCGGGTCCTGCGGGACTACAGCGACAAGGTAACGCGCTGCGGCCGCGGGGCGCGCTACCGCGCCCGGGCCGCCTCCGGGGCTCGTCCCGCGCATCCTCCCCACCCCCCGCATTCCGGGGATGCGCGCTGCTCTCCCCCGAAAACGTGTCCGGCGTGGGCATGCGTGTTCGTGCCCCCAGCCCGCCTCCTGTTGCATCCTGCGTCCCCCTGCCCCCACTGGAGCGCCCACTGCTCTGTTCCCGGCCCAGCGTCCTGTCCCGCGGTCCTCTCGCCAGGCGTGTGTGTCACACCCCCAGAATCCTTCGATAGATGTGCCTCCGGGTCTGTGCCCCGCTCCTGTATGCACACATGCATGCGAGAGCCTTCCTTACCTGTACAGCGTAACAAGACGTGCTTGTCTGCATAAACACGGCCGTTGACAGGCATAAAACACCAAGGCATAAAACGATGGCAGTTCCGTATCCACCTGTACCACTGTACAGTTTTCAGAGCGTTGTCTCGTCTATGGTCTCATTGGATCCTCAGAGTGCTTATAGAGTAGGTGGTATCAGCCTTCCCATTGTGTAGATGAGGAAACCGAGGCGCAATAAAAGAACTGAAATGACGCCCAAGGTCATGGACATACCGTGCTGTAAGTGGATGGAGAATAACTCATGACACTTAATACTTGTATTGCGCTGACACCTTTATTATTCATTATCTCGTTTAATCTTGACAGCCGTCCTGCGAGGTATCTCTGTTCCGCAGTTGACACTCCAAATGGGTTAAGTAACTTGCCCAAGGTCATATTTGGGAGCCAGGATTCCAGACTGGTCTTCACACTATCCATTCATTGTTCTTTGCACTTTGTAACTCTGCAGGGAAGCGCTGTCTTGTTTTAAGCCCCAGTCACTTTTCTGAACATCCAAGAACCGTTAGCTGTTCATTACTTGTCATTCCAGGGATTTTACGTGTTCACTTTAAAAGGTCGGGTACCACACCTTTCGTCTGTTTGGAAGACCTATTTTATGGGAATGACTGACTACTCCCTTCTGTGAAAACACACCCTATACCAAGTCCAGGCTTAGATGTGACATCTACCTTTCATTAGCCTCCACCCTCGTCTCTGTATATGTGTTTCATAGACAGAACTTTGTGTTATTGAACTCTCAGTATGCTGTCTTCAGCCAATGAAAGATGGAGCTAAAACTTGAACCTAGGATGTCCAAATCTAAGTCTGATGCCCTTATGCTGCTGTCTTTGGGAGGATGCATGGGCTGTATTCTGTTCACATCACAGCCCTTTCACTTTCTGATGTGCTTTACTGTTAAGCATATCTGCCTAATTTAGGAGAAATTCATTTAATGTGTAGGTGTACGTGTTGCGTAGATTGTATTTTGTAACTTGATCTATTACTGCTTCCCAGAAAAGATATGAGGTAAGGTAGCTACAAACTTATTTTGGAAAGAAAGAAATATAATAGACAACTTGGCCATTGTTTTGAAACACTTAATGTTTATTTAGCACTTACTATACACCAGATACCTGACAATAAATAGACTCTTCCTTCTATAGGGCAGAAGAGAAGAACAACCTCCAGTCAAATCTTAACCATCTCCTTTAATATTTGTCTTTTCTTTGGTGGCTAGATTAATTAGACTGCAGCTTTGCCTTCCCAAATGTGTTTCTTCCTCTCCTTGCTCTCTCTCCAGGTTGATTCCCATTTACCGGTACTACTCTGGGCCAGATATTGTCAAGCTTAAGTCCTGGACTTCTCCAGTTCCCCCTTTCCCTGTTGCCAATGTTTTTGAAGAAATTATGCCCATTGTGTATTAGGATGCTATTCTGAAGTCTTTGAAGGATTCCCAGGCATTTGTATTTTATGGCCAAGCCGAGGATGGGAATGTTCCGACTTGATGTTCAGAAGAAAGCTCGAGTGTTATTGCTGATTATAGTGGGATTCATACCAGAGGGCCAGATATGGTACAAAGAAAATAGCTGAGCTTCATGTCACGGTGACGCTTTGCCCTGCAAAGGGAGAGATTTTGGGGGCAGATGAATAGGAAAGGGAAATATGCTAACAGTGGTCAGGCCGTAAGAATAGGGGAGTGGAATTAACCTGCCGAGCTTTATGGTACGTGGCGTCTGAAACCCTGCGGCAGGAGCCGACTACCATGTCCCTCTGTTTCCTTATCTGGGAAGAAACGTTTGGAATGAGAAGTGATTGTGGGGCATTGAGGAGCCTAAGCAAAGGGGGAATGAATAATGGGGAGAAAGAGTGATTTGTTCATTGTTTGGAAGAGGAGGGGGACTCTTCTTTCCAATTTCAGCTCTGCTGTTAGTTTCTCCACTATGGGTCAGTTATTTTACGCCTCTGAGTCCCAGCCGCCTCATCTGTAAGATAGGGATAGTGACCATTTTCTTCACTTACTGATTAAGTTAATGAAATATGACACCAGACATTGAGCACCCATGCACCTAGGAAGTGGCCACTCGGTTTGTTAGAAGTGTAGGGACTCAGGTACTCCGGAGGTTGGGTGGCCAGAAAACATGATCTGGAGCCAGGCTACCTGGTCTCTGATCCTCAATTTATGATCTGAGGAGCCCTCAACTTTGCTATGTCTTAGTTTCCTCATCTGCCAAGTGAGGATAACAGTCCTGTTTCTATCCTGTGGCTGTTGTCAGGATTAAACATATGATGTATATAGAATTTAGAACAGTGTCTGCCACTGAGGAAGTAACCCACAAAGGCAGAAACCACACGTGGGCACAAAGTTGACATCCAAAGTAAGAGATGGGGAACCTTCCCCATTCTTTCCTGCTTGCCTTAACCCTGGCACTTACCATCAGTGTAGCATGTCTTACACCACCTTATGCCACATTCAGAGCAACAGTTCCTATCTGACTCCAAGAAACTTCTCATTTCTGCAGTGTTAGACTCATTTCCAAGTGTTCTTACTTCATTTTACCCATGTTATCTTGAGGAGAGGGAAGAGCTCTCTATCCCAGAAAGAATGAAATGTATCTGTTCATCAGGGTATAATGTAGTCGACACAATAGGAAAGGTTTTGTTTTGTTTTTAAATAGGAGTGATTGCTTTTTACTCCTTCCAGTTTACCTGTTAATACTTATTGAGGGGCGGGGATATAGCTCAGTGGCACAGTACCTGCCTTATAAGCACAAGGTCCTGAGTTCGATTCCTGGTACAAAAAAAACCTTTTTTTTGGTTTTTGGTTTTTCTCCGGTACCGGGAACCGAACTCACGACCTTGCGCTTGCCAGGCAGGCGCTTTGCCACTGAGCTAAATCCCCAGCCCCCAAAAAAACCTTATTGAGTACCTGTGTATTATCCTAAGAATGTTCACATCATCTCATATAATCTTATATTAAGAGCTCTAAGGGAGAGCTGGGTGTGGGGGCGCATGCCTATAATCCCAGTATTTGGGAGGTTGACACAGGAAGATTTCTGTGAGTTCGAGGCCAGCCTGAAGGACTTAGTGAGACCCTGTCTCAAAAAAAAAAAAAAAAGTTACAAGGGGGATAGACCTCTTTGCTTTTTAAAAATAGGATTGAGGTCAGGGACAAACTATATGGACTTACGAACACATCGCTAGAAGGTAGCAGGTCTGACTTTCATATCCTGGATTCTTTCTGCAGGGCCACATTGCCTTTTCCCGTTGGTGCTGTTCTGGGACACAGAAGGAAAAGCTTTTCAGAAGCCGTATATTACTTCCTTTAGCTGCTATTGAGCCCTAATTACTTTACCTTAGTTATAGAATGAACTGTTCATTTGGGAAGTAATATCGCCCTGGTGTAGATGCTACAAGTTCCTGCTCTCCTTCAGGGCGTATTCAAATACCAGGTTTAGTAGAGAGATTGGCTGCTGTCCCTATCATGATTATCAACATGATATCAATAGAAATTAGTAATTGAGGCCTGGAGGTACACAGCAGTGCTGGGATTCCTTGATTCATAGGAGTTTTCTTTCTTTTTTTTATTTATTAGTGCTCGGAATTCAACCTAGGCTTTCACACATACTAAGAGTATGTTCTATTGGTGAGCTACACCCTGAGTCTGAATCACAGGATATACTGACTGGAAGGAACCTCAGAGGTAACTGAGTCCACTGTGCCCAGCACTTTCCATTTCTGGAAGTTGAGTTGAGTTCTCCCTGGGTCTGTGCAGAGGAGCATGTTTAATGGACAGTTCCTTTGTTATACTTTGTTCTTATTTTCAGATTGGTTATATAGTCAGTTACCTGTTTTTAGTTCTCAAAGTAATCTCTGTTCCTGGAGCACAGCACCACATGCCACCCAGTCAGGTGTATTGCCTTGTACTGGTGCTGTTTGAGGGCATCTTTAGAAATCTATGGAATAACTCCTAGTTCTCTAATAGGTCAGTGTTTGGTCAGATACCACACAGAGGCCATGCAATAACAACAGTAATGGCTATTTAATGAACGCCTGCCACGTGCAAGACGCCATACATAAGGATAAGGAAAATCTGAAGGGAGGTAAAGTTGAATGCTTTGACCAAGGTTACTCTTACTGAGCAGCAGGCCTGGCCTCCAACTCAAGGTTGTCTGACGCCTGAGCTTTTTAGAGCCTCTTCATCGGGTATGAAACCTAGAGGCAAGAGTCCTCGGAATGGGTCTGATTGTGTCGCTGAGCTGCTCTAGCTTGCTTGGTCCCTAGACAGATCAATGGTTTTACTCTGTAGTTTATATTTGATTTGTTCCTGCACCTCTGGAAATTGTGTAGGGAAAGTAAGGTGGTTGACTGTCGGTTATAGCTCAAGAAAGGCAGTTGTAGCTAGGAATGATTGTTCCCTTTCTCCATTTGAGCTTTAGAAAAGGAACAGATAAAGGTTAATGGTACTGAATATGATCTACATAATATAAAAGAAGCTAGCCTTATAAACCAGCATCTGTTAAATCCAAATAATTTTAGAGGGGTGAGCTTTTGAATAGATTGTTATACTCAGAGTTCAGTTTGTAGTACCTCACATAGGAGTATATTTTCTAATTAGGCCCTCATGCTGGGCAGGCAGTGTTTTTCAAAACTTAATAAACAATGTTGTGGTTTATGACAGAATCATCCTTGCATTTAAAAAGCAACAGAAAAAATAGCCATTGGTACTATTATAAACTTTCACCTAAAAGAATTACTTCTGTGTAGGAACTATTTAAAAGATATTTTTGTAACTTACTTGGTTTCTTTTTTCTGTCTTCTTCCCATAAATGTCCCCCTGAAGTTGAGGAAAGCCATTAGGCACATGTATTTTAGATAATGTACAGATCAATATTTTATGTAGAATAGCAAAAAATAAGCTTTCTTGGTTTCTAAGTACAATTATTTATTTACATTTGTATCAAACCTTTACTGAGCGTCCATTTACAACTTTAGGTTGATGTCTAGTGCTTCCATATCTTTAAAATGGTAGTTTTTTACTAAACCTCAGGTCTATAAATTTACATGCCTGTCCCTTAGATTTACAACATATCCTTTCTTCCTTCTCTCCCTCCTTCCTGATTTGCTTTTTTGTTCATTCATTCATTCACTCACTTTTAAAAATTTTTATTACAAAAATAATGTACCTATAGTCAATCATCTCTTTTATGTTGCTTTATAGCATTTTGTCACGTTAATATGTGTTTAATAGAACACTGTTACTTCACAGCACTCTGTCAGTCTTTTGGCGATGTTCAGCTTCCCTCTTTTTTCTTTCACCCTATTAAATAACTGCAGCGAACATGCTTACATACATACTTTTCCTGTCCTCCTGGATGATTTCACTGGGATAAATTCCTACGAGCAGCAGTTCTGGGTCAAGGGGGATAAATATTTTTATGGCTTCTGATATGTGTAGTCAAGTCACTTTCCCTTTTAAGGCTTATGTCAACTCACTACTACTGCCACCAATAATATCATGCCTGAATTGTAAATGCCCACTCCTCAAATGACTGTTACATCCCCAGTCTTGCTCTCCTTAGATCTGGCCTGTGAGCTGCCATCCAAAATATTCTTCCAGAGCAGTTTTCATGCCTCCCTCATGGTGCTCCTCTGGTGGCATGTCCCCTGTCTGCAGTTTCAAGTACAAATTTTTAAATCCCTGCTCTTAGCACCTGATTTCATCCATTTTAATTGGTTTACATTTGTACCTAAACCAGCTCCCTGAGATTTATCCAATGACCATTTCTCTTCTCTCTAACAATTTCTTATGCTCAGAACTGCTTCTCTACCAATATTTTCCCATCTCGTTTAATTTCAAAAATTGCTTCTTCTCCAGGTTGCCAATACAGAACCATCTATAGTGATGCTATCTTTAATACTTAGTGTACTTAATTCCTGGTGTGTTGCCAATACTTATTTGTCAGTGTGACCAATGAGAGAAATACAAAGTAAAAGAGAATTCAAAAGAGAATAGAATTCAAAAGTAAAAGAGAATTCAAACTTTTCCTTTCCAGTGATATTTTCTTCAGTATAATTGGCATCATCATCATCATCATAAACCCTTATACTTACTGAGTATATACTGTGTGCCAGGCACTGAGGTGGTATTTTGTGGGCCGTAGTCCTTTGAACCCTTACACTCACCCTGTGAACTAAGTACTTACCCTCTATCTTTAGATGAGACCCCCAGACACAGTTGACTGCTCATGGTCACAGCTAGGAAGTGAGTGATGGAGCCATGATTCAAACTGTCATTCTTATAAGATTACTTTTTCAAAATATCAAATCTTTTCCCTGTCTGTAATTATCTGATGCTTTCTTATTGCATACAAAAAAGAAAATATAAACTCAGGCACACGGGAAGACTTTTCTAAATCTGCCAAAGTACTTTTTCATTTTCATCTGCTTCCACACCTTCGTCCTCTAACATGTATCCCATTCTCCAGTCTCGTAGGCTGCTGGTTTGGGGAATGTGTCACACAGGTTCACAGATCTGAACCTTTGTTTTTTCCCCTAGAATGCTTCCCATTTGCCTCTTTGCAAATTCCTGTTTATCTCTCAAGCTCCAACTCAAGTGCTCTGTACTCTACGCAAAGTAGTCCAGATTTCTCTGGGCAGTTGGTGTTGTGGTGCTCTGTTTCTTTTTATATATTTCTGTGGTACTTTTTTTCACTACTTCATGATCATTTGCTTACATGTTTAGCTCTTTAATACGAATATTGAGCTATGGAAAGCAACATTTTTATGAGGATACTGTTTGATGCATTTTTAAACATAGCCAAATTTTAAAATTTGTGTATTTAAAATGATGTTGTTTCCCTTTTTCCCCCCTCAGCATAGGTCTACTTTCAAGTTTGAATCCACAGATGAAGATAAAAGAAAGGTAAGCCTTGATGTTATTTTTGTATGTGCATGTGCGTGCGTGTGTGTATGTGCGTGCAGTTCATTCCTGGACTTTTTAAGTGGTGGGTTTCTTTTCACGGATGATTGTTGGTTTGCTTTTGGTTTTCCTTCAGTTTGTTTCTTAGGAACCCTGAGAATAAAGACAAGTGCCAAGGATGGTGGCTTTCACACCACTCCCTCCTGCTCCATCCCCACAGAACCATTAGATTTGTGTAAGTCAAAGGAGTGGGAAGGGTTCAGAAGGTGTTTGTCCCCCCATTTTTTCACTGCCAAGAGGTTGCTTTTGTTTGGTGGCAGGACTCCAGGTTTCTCAACACGTTGCTAATGTGAAGCTTTGCTAGGATGAGTTAAATTTTGGGAAAGCAGCTGTTCGTGCTGCTGTCCCTCAAGTACATATCCTCGCCTGTGCTGGAAGTTCCTTGCATCGTTAGCAGTTGTGAGGACACTGGCTTCACTGACACAGGCAGGTGGAGGCAACAGACTCCCACGCAGAGGGCTTACTATGAGAGAGCACATCAGACACCGCACCGCCCAGGGCGTGCTTGCCTGCTGGTGTTGCTGTGGCTGCTGTACTGGTTGGTAAAGCATGATGCCCGTGGGGATAAGCTCACCAGTTCTGCCTCTGTGTTTTGCTGGGCTCCATACATCCATCCTGACTTCACAAATGTCAAGAACAGATAAAACGGATGGAATCAGTATAAATCTATTACTGCTGCTGGAAGAAGATAGTTTAAATCCAGTACTTTGTTGTTAGTAGCTTGATGACACCTTGGAATCATACTTTCATCTGCCTCTGTCCCTACATCTAATATCTGTCTGCCTTGCTTTCCCTCCCTACATTTCTTCAGTCCATTCTTGACTTACCTCTATCCTAATTCATACCTTCTCTAGATTACTGTCTCACTTTTTTTTGTCTTTCTTTCTTTTCTTCCTTCCTTCCTTCCTTCCCTCCTTCCTTCCTTCATTTTCTTCCATCTCTCTATCCCTGTCTCTTTCTTTCTCCTTCCCGTTGCAGTACTAGAGATGGAACCCATGGGTGCTGTACTACTGATCCACTCCCTACATGCCCAGCCATTTTTAATGTTTATTTTGAGATGGCTCTGTTGGTTTGCACAGTCTGGCTTCGAACTTGTGATCTTCCTGTTTTTAGCTGTTCTTTCATTTTTCACTTTCATGCCCTCCCAGTTGATTGTCCATAAATCTACAACAGCAGTGTGAACATGTCATTCTCAGCTGTAAAACCCTTTAGTGACTCTCTTTGCCTACAGAATAAAGTTCAAACTTTTTAAAGTGATCCACTAAGTGCTCAGTGATCTGATCTTTGCCTACTTTTGCAGCCTGTTTCTCCTCTTTCCCTTGTATTTTATGTTCTAGCAACATAAAATGAAATGTCTCTGGTAAAATACACATACGTATCCTTTTTGTTTCTTCTTTCCATCTTTTGCATATATTGTTTGCAACCCCCCTTCTCCTTTCTACCGCCTTAATTCCTCCACTCCACAGGGCACCTCCTTCAGCAGTCCTACTGTGGCACTCCAGGTAGGGTGATACGGCCTTCTTCAGTGTCCCCTTAATACTCCTTGTAAATCTCCTACTCTATTACTCACACCTTACTTCATAATTATATCTCTGTGTTTCTAGATGTTAGGCCCTGAGGGCCCCTGACAACAGGTACTGTTATATATCTTTACCCTTGATGTCTGCAGTGCCCAACATTTAAGTATGCGGAAGTATTTATGGAATAAGAACTCCTCTAATAGAGATTAAAGGAGACTTTCTTTTGGATTGGAACAGTGTAAATAAGGCAGAGAATACCTCTTAGAACCATAATTCTCAATGAGGAATGTACTGTTTGGGTAGGTTTTTCAAGCTAGACCTGCTCAGGCGTAACCCTTAACTACTGGGTCAGAATTTGGGGAGGGGGCTCCCCTTTGGTGCAAATGGTACTATATTGTATATACATACAATACAGTATGTATTAAAATTCCAGATGCTGGGGCTGGGGATACAGCTCAGCGGCACAGCGCCTGCCTGGCAAGTGCAAGGTCGTCAGTTCAATTCCTGGTACCGGAAGAAAAACAAAATAAAATTCCAGATGCCTTTTACCCTTTGACCAAGCAATGTCACTTTTAGAAATCTCGTCTGTGTATATGTTGAGCTCGAGTAAACAGAGTTATTCATTGAAGTATTGCACATAATAGCAAAAGATGGGATATAACTAAATATCCAGCAGTTAGAGATATTTGGAGAAACTATGGCATATTTATATGATGGAACAGTATGATACAAGGAAAAGAGAAAAACCCTATTATGTGCTAATGGGAGAGTTTAGTAACAAAAAAAAGAAGCAAGTATTAAAAAGAACATATTGTTTAACACACTCATGATAGGGATTCAGGCCAGGAAGTCAGCCTTTGTTTGTTCAGTTGGGAGAGTCCATCCTACATCTATAGATTCACAGTGTCTTAAGACTATCACTTTAAGAATCTTTAATTGTACTGTTGCTCGTCAAGGTGAGTGTGTTCAGACAGAGTTTCTTCCACCCCATATACATCTTAGTTGAGGAGAAATTTCCTATAGAGGTATTAATAAAGCATGTAGTTTATTTCCTGTAGGGCAGTAGGAAAACCTGACATTTTCCACATATAGTGTTCTTGTCCCTCAGCATCTAAATGCAGTTGGTTTCAGAACACCCTCTCCCCCAGGACCCCAGTGCTCACATCCCTCACATAAATTGGTACAGCGTTGGCATATAACCTGTACGCATCCTCCTGTGTACTTTCAGTCACCTCTAGATTATTTGTAATAGCTAGTACAATGTAAATGCTATGTAAATAGTTGTTATACAGTACTGTTTAGTGAATAATGAAAATAAAGTCCATCCCCATTCTGTACAGATGCATTTTTTTCTGTTACTTTTCATCTGGTGGGTGGTTAAATCCTTAGTTATGGAGGTTGTCCTTACTTACTTTTAGACCTCTAGAGAGGGTAACTTTATTAGTGGTTACTTCAGTTACAGCGTGTAGATTTCTGCTTCCTGGGAGGTCTGTTACAAACAAGTGTCATTAGGGACCTGGCTAAGTAATCTTCATTAATGGAAAAACATTGACAAACAAATCCATTAAAGTCTCCAAGGGTTAAAACCATTAGTGACTCTTTCATGCCTAACGGCTCTTTTTAGACTTTGATTCAGAAGTGTTGGACAGCTCGGAAAGGGTCTACATCCTAAAAGCATTTTAAGTTCCCAACATGGAGACACATAGAGTGCAGTAGTTGACACTTCTCCACATTAAACTCAATCTAAAAAGAAAAGGAATTCAGATTACCACACAATGTCTTCAGCTGTTCCAGTTCTTTTTTGTTTCCTAAATGTGCTTCTGGTGCCTTCTGCTAGCAGATACTTGGTAATAGCAGCAACCATTTTGATGTACTGTAGTGCTGTCTCTGAGAAACACGGTATCACTTTTCCTATATAAAAAATCTTTGTGACAGCATAGAAGTAGCATAAAGGAGCAGTGCCCTTTCAAAAGGAAGTTGACAATATTGAGCCTTTCAAGATATGGTTATAAATTAATGATCCTTAGACCTAGTTACTGACACTAATGTAATGCTTTGTATTTTTACAGAGATCTACTTCTCACCACTAGTACTTTAATATGGTAGAATATCACCATTCGTATTTTATGCATAAGAATACTGAGGCTCACGTGAATGACAGCTTCCTGACACACCAGTAGTAAGCAGTGGAGCTTCAAATAGAAAACAGATTTTCTGACTAGTACAGTATGTGCAACTCTCACTGCTCACTGCTCTATAGCTCCCTCTTATTACCATTTGAGGTATATTTAAGAAGACCCATAGTTATGATGCAGTACCTTATCTGTTTATTTTATACCTTCAGACACCACTTAGGCAGATTCACTTAAATTGGAAGATACAGCAACTAGTAATGTTTATTTCTTCTGAAGAAGTAGTTAGGGCTAAAGCATGAAGATCCCAGATTTGAACCCATCCTAGGCAACTTAGTGACTTAGTGAGACTGTTGGGAAATCAAAATCAAAACAAAAAAAGGACTAGGGAGATAGCTCAATGCAAAGCCCTGTCATCACCAGTACTGGGGGAAAAAAGTAAGTACAGCCTCTAGTGTTTGTGCATATAATGCAAATAGCTCCAGGTGCATGTGGATCACTATATACTTGGATATAAACTCCTGTGCTTATTAAAGTGTTGGCTTTCCATCCTCTACTAAATCAGTATTCTGTGATTACCTGGCAGCACATAAACAAATGTATCATGCAGATGCGTGCAGAAGGGGTGAGCTGCTACTGTGGTTCCCTGTTAGAATGCTTGCCTAGCATGCATGAGGCCCTAGGTTCCATCTCCAGTACCAGTCCCTTCCCCAAAAAAGTAGATGAGGGAAGTGAATAATGTAAAAATTCCCATCTTTCACAAATAAAAGCTCTTATATTGGTTTTAAAAATAAAACATTCCTCAAACCCAGTAAAGAGGGGGATTCATCTTAGTCTGTTGGAGATCTTGGTGGGTTCAGAAGGAAAGCAAAATATGTTTGCAGTCTTGCTGACCCTCTTCATGGAAGAAGAATTTTCAGGATGTGCCAGTAGAGGAGGGTTTATTAGGACAGAGATTTAGGCCTCACCCAGGAGTGCAGTGCAGATGCTCTGAGGAATGAGTCACGTTACAGGTCGACCTTATGCACGGTGTGTTCTCCCTCAGTTCAAGCCACAGATGGGAGTTTAAGGAGATCCAGGGTTAAGGAGGTCTGAAGTGGTCCTGCTCCCTGGTGCAAGAACATTTGAGTGAAGAAATGAAAGAGGAGGTTTGACCCTTGACCAAAGACTCAGATTTCTAAATAAAAATTCAAGGCAGATCCAGAAGACACAAAGACAGAGCATCTCTGTTACTGGATTTTCCTGAAGCAGAGGAAAATGGCAAAGGCTAAGGAGTCACTGTGACACTGGA